AAAAAAAAAAAAAAAAAAAAAATGGCTATGGCTGTGTTTGAATGTTTTTGCAAAAACAGGCAGTTGCCTAATCCAGATGAGCCAACATTCTGATAAACACAGGGTAGGGACACATCCATCTTCCTGCCTCAGCCTCCCCGTCAGCTTGTCACCAGAGCAGAGGCCTCAGAAACCAGTGTTTGCAGAAAAATGAGCCCACACAGAAATTCCTTGAGGACAAAGTATTAGGCACCTTCCAGAGGCTGAGATACAGTAGGAAACAAGTCACAACACCCCTTCCCTCGGGGGACAGGGAGAGAAAGAGCAGGGGAGTAACATGATTTCACACAGCACTGAATGCTGCGATGAAATAAAACAGCAAGACGGGATAAAGAGACAGAAGCCAGCAGCACAGTTACGTCACTTCAGCAAGGGTGACGTGGAAACACAGGGCTCAGAAGTGAACAGTGAAGAGCAGGCAACCCTGGAAAGATGAAAAAGATAATGAGCTTCAACCAGAAGAAACGATAATGGTAAAATTAACATCTTTGAGTCTGTATCACATACGAAGAACTGTTCTCAGCTCTTTCCGTTACTTTTAACCCCTCCGAGTGTTATTTCCTCACTCACAAACAGACACCAAACGGCAAAGCAGGGAAACGATCCAGAGCTCGCCCTACCAGCTGCTTCCCTCATCTGCCTCTCAGAAAAGCGAGTGCAAACACACGACCAAAGCAGCAGAGGAGCAGAAAGTGCGCTTGCTGGGGTGACAGAGAAAAGGGGGCTGGGTGGGTGGAGCCAGGGAGGAGGTCGGATACGCGGAAGTGGCGGATCCCCAGGACATCCACGGAGAGAAAAGTGACGGCATTTCCACTACTTTTAGAAATGGGGCCAAGCCTACCATGCCTCATCCTCCTGTCATCCCATCTATCTGCCACCCGAGACTTTCTGATCATCTTTATCAACAACTCTTTCCCCAACATACTGGATTTTACGACTACTTAATCCAGGAAGCTCCTCTCCTTCACACGGGTCCTCCTCCACTCCCAGCGTGAGATACATTTCTCTACACCTTCAACCTTTCCGAAACTTCCCCTCTACTGCTCTGCAAAACTAGGCTGTACTTCTCTGCGGCCCCGCCATTAGAGGGCGCTCTCTCACAGCCCAGGCGCTCCGTGCTTAGCAGGCGGGATGAGGGTTTTCAGGGTCAACAGATGCCTCTTCAAAACCGCTCTTCTCGTTTGTTTCCCAAAACCCTTGTTCTCTGCTATCCCCTGACCTGGAATTTCCCGTCACTCACTAAAAAGTTTGTTTCTATTTGAAAATCTCTCCACCCCCAGCTTCCGTCATCAGTCTTGGCAATGTCAATAACCAGATGGAGAGCACATCCAGGGTCCTGTTTCCTGACCTCTCTAGGAAGCTCCGCCTCGTGCTGCCCCCTCAGCCTCACCCAGCCCCCCTCTCTCCCCACCCAAACCGCCCTTCTTACCAAACTCTGACAGCCAGCACTGCTGTGGTCACGATCGCCCCGTGTCTTTTGTTTTACTTCTAGTTTACTGTCCTGACTACAACATGGTGCCCTAACCGTCACTGCTCGATTCTTCCTCAGCCCTGCACTGCTGTGGTCACGATCGCCCCGTGTCTTTTGTTTTACTTCTAGTTTACTGTCCTGACTACAACATGGTGCCCTAACCGTCACTGCTCGATTCTATTCCTCAGTCCTCTACCGTCCTCATTTCTCTTCTTGCTCAATGGTAACCATCACTTCTCCCTCTCTTCCTCCGATGTCCTCAGCAGGATAAAGTGTAACCTTAGGTGACCTCAACCATTTAATTCCCCAAGTCTGAATGTGAAGAGCTAACTTGGTTGAAGCAGCGAAAATGCACAACCAGCTGGGGATTTAGCCCAGCAGCAATGTGGCTGCATTGCAAGCGCAAGGCGGCGAGTTCATCCCCGGAATGTGGGGGTGCACAACCAGGCGGGTGGGCTGCATTTTAAATTTCTGACCCCAACTTCAGATGGGCTCTCAACAGTGTCAGTCTTCCCTACCGAGGGCCTCTGCCTTCCCCCAAGTGACCATTCCACGTCTTCTCAACATCCAACTCCCTCCCTCAGCAGCTGCTCTTCCCCTCGCTGAGGAAACCAATCTACAAACCCACCTGCGCCTGGACCCATTTCCGCCTCTTCCCTTCCGTAACTCAAGGCTGACACCCCATCGACACAGGCCCGAGACCTGGCACTCGGCACCCACCCCGTGCTGTTCTCAGGGACGTCCCTTCTTAGTGCTCTCCGCCCGGCTGCCTGGCCACTGTCCCGGCATTAGAATGCTCTCATCATTTCCTTCGCCTGCCCCCAATGGCTCCCATCCCAAAGCTCCCCCAGAGGGCCCCAAAGCACGGGAACCAGCAGCACATCCCACCCGCACATTTGTAGGAACATTAGGTGGCACCCAGAGCTACCGAGTCAGAAACTCTGAAGTGGGGACGAACAGCAGCCCACTTTCTCAAGCCCTTTATGCGATTCCAACGCACAGCGAGGTTTAAGAACCGCTCACTGGTGCTACTCCAAGTGTGCGCCATGCACCAGCAGCATTAGCAGGGTCTGAGAGGGCGACAGAATCGCAGAGTCTGGGCTGCCAGCGTGGCATCTACATTCCGACAAGACCCACAGGTCACGCATTCCCTCCTAAGGGCCAGAAGCACCCATCTTCACAAGGACTCGTTTCCTCCCGTTCTTCAATCCATGCTACTGAAACTGCCCTTCGCAAGGTCATTCAAGGCCGGTTGCAAACCCGACAGCCACCTTTCTGGGCTGACAAGCGACACGCTCACCACGCGCTTCCACGCTGGCCCTCTCCTGGCGTCCGTCTCGCATTCCTTTTGGTTCTCCAGGACCTGTCCGGCAGCTCCTCTGTGCGCTTCCTCTGCTCTAGCTCCACACGACGAGGTTCTCCAGGACACGTCCTGGGCCCCTGCTCCTCTCCCCCACGCTGTCCCTCTACATCTACACCCGACTTCAAGTTCAATGCCACCCGGATACTGAAAACTCCCTGGCCTAGGTCTTACTGAAACTTCCTCTGAGCAGACTGCCGGACGTTTTCACGTGAAAGACACACAGCACCTTAAACTGAGCAAGTTCCAACACCCAAACTATTCCTCTCCCTGTCATCTTACAGTAAATGGGCCGTCCATGCCGTTGTCCAAGTAGGAATCTGAGTGGCATCTTTCCTTCTCCCTTCCCTCCAGGGCCCTGGCTACCACCATCCACATCTATCAGCGAGTATTGTGGCTTCTACCTCCAAACCACGCACGCTCAACTTCTTTCCATCTCACCACTACTGGTCCACGGAAGCCCTATCACTAGCCTGCCTTTTCATACCGGACTCTGCTTCCTGTTCTGCCCTCTTCTGATACACTCACACTTCCTATCTTTTAACCGTGTCAGGGGCGCCAAGCCCTGTAAGGAACTTCTCTATTCCCCAGAACACAGAGTAAAATGCAGGCTCCTCCTTGGGGCCTCCAAGGTCCAAGCAATCTGACCCCCGGACACTGCCTGCTCCTGTGCTGCTCCTCCTGCCCCCACGCCTGCCACCGAGCTCTGAACACGCCGGCTCCTCTCAGTTCCTGAAACAATTCTGGGCCGGCTGTTCCTGGATCCTAAGAGTCTCCGCCCTCACCCTCGTCCTTCAGGGCTGGCGAAGTCACACTGAGATGCGCCTGGAAGGGCCCAGGCGGTCTGACACAGCCCGGTAGTGGCCCCTCTTTACCTCACAGAAAGGGAAGGGTTCTGAGGTCTTCCACTCCTCTGGCTCCTACCAACTTCTCTCTCGGAAGCACCAAGAACATTTTGGCTCTTCCCTAAACTTAGTTCTCTAAAGTGGCTCCCACTTCCCAGCTCACGGGGTGCCTCCTCTCTCCGCTCCCCACACCGACCTGCCTGTGACGGGGGTCCAAGCTCAACTCACCAGGCGGAAACAGCTCATCTGAATGACCTGTCTGTGCATTGCAGCCTCGCCAGTAATGAAGAACATGTTTTTATCTCTATTTGTCTCCGATATCTATTCAGTGAAAGGCAGGCTAGGATTAATCAGTACCCTACAGACCCCAGCAACCACAAATTATTAGCACACACTTACTTACCATCCGGTAGAGAGAGTGGTTAAGTATCAGCCAGGCTTTGGAATCAGATTGCCTGGGTTTTAATTCCAGTTCTGCCACTAACAGCTATATAATCTTGAAGGATTTAATTCACTTTTTTAAATCTCCTATGTGAAACGAAGGTAATGTAATCTGTGGGATGTCTGTTAGAATTAAGGGTGGTAACTTTTATTTTGTGTATGTGTGGGTTTTTTTTTTTTTTTTTTTTTTTTTTTTCCAGGGTCTCACTATGTAGTTGAGA